CAAAGCACCATCACCTCTGAGGTAGCCTGGGGGAAAAAAAGAATATTGCAGAAAAATCAAAGTACAAAGAAACATGTAAACACTATGGAGATGCATTCAACAAAGCCCAGAATGTAGGAAACTACATAGGAGGGAATATTCAATCAGAGAGAGAGGAGAGAGAGAAAACATCTGTAGAGACACATATTGGCCAGTCACAATGGGTAGACTATAGTCCATTGAAAGCTGATTCCAAAAGCTTTTTACAAATTTAAAATAATAAGGGAAATCTAAACACTGCATGGATATTTGGCTATTTTGAAGAAGTATGCATTTTTTTACATGTGATAGTGAAATTTTTTAAAGTATCTTTTAGACACATACACCAAAATGTTTATAAATAAAATGTAATTCCCAGAACTCACTTCAAAATCATCCACAAGTGGAAAGAAAAGGAAAGTGGCATCGAAGGTAGTGAATGGAAGTATGGGAAACCAGATTGGCCCTAAGTTGATAACTACTGAAACTAGATAACAGATACTTGGGTATTCATTATGTTATTCTACTTTTGGGTAAGGTTGAAATCTGTCATAATAGAAAGTTAAGATTTTATCTAAAGGTAGACCTTTACTGAAATGAATCAACTTCAATATCTCTCATCAACCACTAATATAGGTAATCTCCACTTCAGGGCAACATAAACAGAAGACACAAAAACAAGACCAAAGACTGAAAGTAACTCGAAAATAACACAGCATACATAATCACCCACAAACACAATCACTGTCACCAACCAGATGTGCCCATAAATACTGCAAGTTTCCATTAAATGTCAGCATACAGATTCCTATCATTAGATAAAATTTGTGAATTACTGATAACAATCTTGAGGCATTTTGAGGAACCACAATGTATACAGACAATTTCAAATTTTTAATGTCTGAAAGTGAGGTATTGTATTTTGATGTTATGTCTATACTAAAAAATAACCATGATTTTAAATTAAATTTTGTCTCTTATAGAAAAAGGTAATATTGTGTTACAATAAATTGGTAGTTTAGAAACCTAAGGAAATAATCCATATTTCAAGGAAATTTAGAGTTTCACCAAGTTCCACCAAGTTGCCATTTTGTGATATGTATGAGTTCACCATGTTATATCCTCCACCCCATGCCCACCCGCCAAAACAAGTATTTTCTTTTTTTTTTTTTTTTGAGATGGAGTCTTGCTCTGTTGTCCAGGCTGGAGTGCAGTGGCACGATCTTGGCTCACTGCAACCTCTGCCTCAGCGGGTTCAACCTCGGCCTCAACCTCCCAAGTTGCTGGGACTATAGGCACCCACCACCACACCCACCTAATTTTTGTACTTTTAGAAGAGACAGGGTTTCACCATATTGGCCAGGCTGGTCTCAGACTCCTGACTCTGTGATCCACCCACCTCAGCCTCCCAAAGTGCTGGGATTGTCGGTGTGAACCACCACACCTGATCAACAAGTATTTTCTTTAAATAGATTGATCATAACATATTCTGGCTATTAATAACTATTCATTGAACGCTTAATAAAGTGTCAGTTACTCCACTAAATATCATTGCTTGATTTAATCATTTTAATCAGTTATACCCCAATGGTAGATATAATCCTCAGTTTACAAATGAAGAAACTAAGGCTGCAAGTAAATTGCCCCAGGTGAAGTAATAAACATATTGATTCCTACTGGTTAACAATAGGTCAATTTTTACCAAACGCTTGGCAATATGTGAAACAGTTAATAAATGTTATTTCAACCCTCTCAAAATTCTATGAGACAGTCTTCATTTACCCAGGAGGGCATTCTCATCATAAGTTTCAAGGAATTTGCTAAAATGTCACATGTGTAATAATGGAAGCACCAGGACTTGAACACTGATCTGACTCCAAAGCTCATGTTTTCAGCCAGTACGTTTAACATCCTCCTAAACTACCTTCCTATACAGGTATTACTATATTTTTAATATTCATGCACAGAACTGGATACATACTCTGGCTGTGGTTTATTGAGATTATTACTTCTGATCTTCATAGATTTTCATGTTAACATTATTACTTTACATTGGCACCTTATATTGGTTCATATTAAGGCTTAAACACTACAGTATTGCATATCACCAGGATCCATCTCCAGAATGTTCTGCCAAATTTAAACCTTAAAGGTAAAATTCCAGCTCCAAAGGTAAAATTCCAACTTGATGCTATACCCAAGATTCTTAATTGCATCAGCTGAACGGTGTTTAATATCATCTAAAGTTTGATAACACTTTTTTTGCATCTTTATTATTGTTGATGAAATCATTGTTTACATTACAGAGGAAATTATTATACTAAATGGAACCTCGAAATACCAGAGTTCCTTCAAGGTCACAATGAATAATTAATGGAACAATCCTTGTGTCAAATGCCTTGTACAGGCTGGGTGTGGTGGCTCACACCTGTAATCCCAGCACTTTGGGAGGCTGAAGCAGGTGGACCACCTGAGGTTAGGAGTTCGAGATCAGCCTGGCCAACATGGCAAAACCCCATCTCTACTAAAAATACAAAAATTAGCAGGGTGTGGTGGTGCACTTGTAATCTCAGATGATTGGGAAGCTAAGACAGGAGAATCACGTGAACACAGGAGACAGAGGTTGCAGTGAGCCGAGGTCGTGCCACTGCACTAAAGCCTGAGCAAGAGAGCAAGACTCTGTCTCAAAAAAAAAAAAAAAAAAAAAAAAAGCTTGTACAAACTAAGTCTATGCCTTTCCCTCTGTTCATAAACCATCATTCATTTAGTAATTCTTCCCATATATACATATATTTAAAACTTTATATTTTTGTCTCCCAATAATTTTTCCATAAGTCTTAGTATACTTCTGATGCTTTAAGAATACTATTTATAAACCATTTTAAGATTTCTGCACATTTTTAAAATTAAATATCTTTAAGTATAAAAATATTTTATTTTTATTGAACTTTGTTCTTTGATAATAATTTGGATTCAGTTGAGCAGTTCTTGATTAATATTTTGTATTAAACCCAGTAACTTAAAATACAAGAAAATATTTTAAAAATATGCATTAGGAAAAGGTGTGCCATAATAAAAACCAGATATAGGAGCACAGTCTAAACTCTTCAGGATTTAAAGACTCATTACACTATGGTGTCAATAAATGGAATAGGTGGGAAGGAACTTGAACTTAGCAATCTGGAAAATCTTATGATGAGTTTTATAGCTGAATTGTCTTTTATAAATCAGACTTTGTACAGTGTTCATGCTATTTTCTCTTTTGTTCATTAAATATGAAAAACTTAGATAACATTAATTTGCTTAAGTTCTTAGGTCACAAAGGGTCAACACGCAAACATTTGAAATAGTTAAAAAAGTTACTATTTTATATAGTAGGTAGACACAAAGTACAAGGAGACTGAAAAATCTAATTGATACACAGATTTTTTTTTTCAGCAAGCTTTATTAATCCATCATGGATCTACTCATGTTTGCAGCAGATACCATGATTTCAGTATCAGTGAAAGAAGAAAAAAAAAATCAAGCAGCCTTCAATGCCTCTCACATCTAAGCAGATCTAAACTACTATAGGACTAAACAGCCTAGCTGGCCAGTTGTTTTTACACATCTAATTAAAAGCTTCAGCAAAAGTGGAAATACATCAAAATTCAAAGTCAAATACTGTTCTCCTAGTGCTTCAAGTAGTTTATTGGTAGTTATTATCCACATTTCTATAAACATTCTAAGTGACCATCACTATTGCAGGAATATTTAACATACGAAGGCTCCACATGAAGCTACTTCATTTTGTGTGACACAAGAATCAAGGTTCCAAAAACTCAGTTATGCCACTAAAAAACAACAACAACAACAAAAACAACCAAAGCCAAAACCAATCCTGCTAGCAAAGTGCATTTCTTTTGGTGAGTTTCAGAACCAACAGCTGTTAGCTTCAGACAAAAAATAAGCTGATTTAGTAGTATATGATCACTGGATATAAGTCTCTGCCTGTAGGTAAGAATTAGATAAAAGGTCCTTCCTCCTTACAGAGTTTTTTCATTCCAATGTAAACAGCACTAGTGAATTTTCATATAACAGGTTTGTTATTTTACCATTCATTTTTTATCATGATAATTCTTATCTGTCATACTGTTAACATTTCTTCCTCTCTATAATCAGGACTGGACAGCCCATGTAACACCGTTCAATTTGTAAACAAAAAATTAAAGCTCAGAACACATACAGGATCTCTTTCACATTTTCATTCTACAGCGCATCAGGTACATTTATAAAGCTTTTGCTCTTCCCAACACACTACAAAAATATATAAAAACCACATTTTTCAGCCAGCAAATATTAATAAAATATCTCATAACTGGAATATTTTAGAGACCACATATTGTAATTACATCCTCTTGACTAAATCAATTGCCTTCTTCAAAAATCCATATATGTATCCAGTGCATATTAGGTTACATGCCCATATTTACTATGAATGAGTCAAGTAAATTATTTTAGGTTCTTCAAGTGAAAAGTGCTTCTGACAACAAACTATTTCTGCAATAGCCCTAAATCCCCGAAGAAGTTGTTTTAAACCTGTGTAGAACAATGCATAGCTATTTCTAAAAAGTAAGAATACACACCAAAACATGCTTTATCAGGAAAACTAATCCATGCACTTGAATATACCCCAAATATCTTATTTTTATTAAAGGCAGATCAACTTAAACATTGTCTAGAATTAAACTATACCATTAAATTATTTGATTCCAGAAAGTGTCAAAAAATCATTTGGCCAAAACTTAAAAAAGCAAATACTTACTCCTTGTCTCTTACTTCAAAAAAGGACTGGTGGACCAATGTGATCAATGTAACTGCATATATGGTAATCTACCTTAACATTTCCATCAATTAGCACTTTATCGTTACAAAGCCTTGTATGCAATTTTCTTGCAAAGGCTTCCCCCCAAAAGATATAAGCAAAAAACACTAGGTAGACGCTCTTTAAAGTTTTATTTCACTAACTTCAGGTCAAATTTCCACAACTGTGATCTGGTCAATTTACTATCCTTGCTTGGCTTCCCCAAATGGTAGTACCAAAAGAATTGTGGGGTAGGGAGAAGAGACCACTTTAAGAAGCACTGCATTTACTCATCTTCCACAAGGCAACAGAGTTGGGCATCTGATTGTTCAACAAAACAAAGCTTTAATAGCATCCAGGAGGGCAGACAGGCAAACCAGGCTGTAGACACTCTTCTATTTGTCAAAATCAGACCAGAGAAAACCTACTCCACACAGATATAATAGGTATAAATATTCATCTTTTCTTTTTCTGTTGTCGCAACATTTTTCTTCTTTTAATTATCATATCATGTAGTTTCTCAAGTCCTTCCTTTAGGCCATCTCCTATGATTGCACAGGTAGGCTGCAAATGCCAAGGAGTTGATGAGCTCAGTTCACCCATTGCTAACAATTTCTCAATTTCTGAAAGAGACAATGAGTTCCTCAAGTCTTGTTTGTTGGCAACTATAAGTACAGGAACTCCTTGATTTTCTGATATCCTAGTTATTTTGTGAAGTTCAGTTTTGGCTTCTTCCATCCTTTCGACATCAACAGAGTCCACAACAAATACAATGCCATCTGTGCATCTGGTATATGATTTCCACAGTGGCCTTAATTTCTCCTGACCACCTACATCCCAGAAGTGAAAAGTGACTGTTTTAGAATTTCCCAAGGTTACCTTAATTTTCTCAGTGTTAAATCCTTTGGTAGGTACAGTATTTACAAATTCATTGAACTGCAGCCTGTATAAGACAGTTGTTTTTCCGGCACAGTCCAAACCCAGAATAACAATGTGGAAGGACTGAAATGAAGGCAGGCTGGACAGGATAGAAGTCTGGTCTGACAGCCCATTCCCCATTTCCAGCTGTGAATAAATGTCCCAAATTGAAACGCTTTCCTCTTCTTGCTTTAGAACTTGTCTTCGTAGGGGATCCAGCTATAAGACTACTGGGAGAGGGAAGAAGGGATAAGTTATTCTTCTGAAACAATACAGTAAACAGGTTTATTCTATTTTGCTAAAATAACACGAATAACTTACAACTTGCTTTGCTAAACAAACCAGAAGCGATGAAACGTGTATGAAAATGCATACAATCCAAGACAAATGATGGAATAACAGTGATTGAAATTATTTGGTTTACTTAAATTGCAGCAATATGTACGCTATTCTCCTGGGTCCCCAAACCTCAAAGACCTCATTCTGGAAAGAACCCAGTCACCAGTATCTGGTCTAAGTCGCGGTAACCACCAAGTGCCTGTTTGGCAGAAAACTCACAGGTCCTATCTTGGGAATCTAATTCGACAGGCTTAACAGCACTGCAAAATCACTATCATCTCCCACCCCTTTAAAAATAACGTTCTCACCTCCCGATATGGAGTCTGGGTCCAAATGGGAACGCATGGGCAGGCGTTTCTACGCAGGGCGAAGCACCCCACGTCCTTCCAGCTCAGCTCTCCAAGCAGCTCTGGCAGTAGCGGCACTAGAAACCCTGGACTCAGACTCCGACCACGCCCACTCCTCCCGGTCCACCCATAATTCCAAATCCCATTGGTCACCTGCATCAGAGCAGCCATGCAACTCCCGCCCCCGCTCCCTAATTGGTGAGGGTAACTGCCGCTCCCAGCGCAGAGGAACTGGGCGCTTTCTTGGTTCACCGGCACCACCTGTTGCCCTTAAGTTAGAAGAGGCGGCGTTCTCGGAGGGAGCCGAGCGGCCTCTGCAGGGGAATGGGAGCCTCGAGCGGTCAGGTCGCCGCCAGCCTGCCGGCTCCACCCGGCCCGGCGCACCTGCAGCGTGGCCAGGGCGCCAAGCCGAGCTCTCACATCCGGGGCCCGCAGTCATCGCCAACGCGTTAACCCTTTGTCCGCCGGCCCGACGGTGCCGGTTGTGTGGGTCCCTGAGGCGCAAGAGATCCGACCCGGCGCGCCCGCCGGGTAAGCCCACCCTCCCCCGAGCGGGATCCCCTCACCCCGCCCCTCCGCACGCGGCCGGCTCTTCTCCCTCGGCAGGGCGTGGTCGCCCTTGGCCGCCCACCCCGCCGCGGCTCACCTGACTAACCGTCCTTCCCTCCTCTTCACTCAGCGTCTCTCTCAGCCGCTGGGGAGGTGCGCTGATACCTGTTGGCTGGCACCAGGGAGGCGTGGGCGGTGGCGGAGGACTGGGCGCCGGGCGGGCGCCGCGCGCCAGGCTGCCCTAACGGTGCTCGCCCGGCAGCTCCACGCCACAGGTCCCGCCCCCCGCCAGTGCGCCGCCCCAGCGCCGGCCAGTGGGGGGCGCGCGGGAGCCGCGTCTCCTAGCAACGCCAAAACAAGGTCGCGTTCCAGTCAGCCTGGCGAGGGCTGCCCGCGAAGTGGGCTGGGACTTCCGGCCTCGCCCCAGAGCGGTGGCTCCCGGTGGCCGGGTCTGCGGCGGCTCGCCACCTTGGCGCGGGCTCCACCCGGCCCCGCCTTCCCTCAGGCCGCCTGGCGCGTGCGCGGTTGGGCATCCCAGAGTTCGCCTGTTCCGGGTGGTCCCCCGGTGGCTGGCGTCGGTGGCCTGGGTCTGCGGGACGGGTCTGCGCCTGCCGTCGCCGTTTGTAGAGCAAATGAGCCCGCTGTTCCGCGTGATTGTAGCAGCATCCCCGGGAGCTGGCGACAGGTAGAAACAGTCCAGTTTGACACATAAGGAAATACACTCTGAAAGATGAATTTTTTTTTTTTTTTTTTTTTTTTGTCTTTCAAGTTGCTCACACAATTTTATTAATTCCAGTAGATACTGCCTCCAGTATACCATTCAACTGCACAGCATTTGTGTGTGCTGGGGTGAGACATCGGTGCATTTTGCTCGAGGGTCCAGTTCCCTTAAAACTAGCGTTTGCAGTTTAACCCTTGGAAAACAGCACAAAAAGCCATCTAGCCTTTTTTTTTAAACCTCTATCCCTTCAAAATTCCCTTTGCGCCCATACACATACGAGGTATCTCTACCTACCGAAAGCTGCATCTTCCAAGCAGTGGGAGAGAGTTTAATTCTTCACTTCCCTCTGCCTCTGCGTTTTTGTTTCCATCTTCTTTTTCTTCGGTGACTTTCGTTCTTCATTAATCTGAACAAGCTCTTCACTTTTGTCTATGATGTGTTTTAGCGGTACATTATTCCTCCCGGGCAAAAGCTTCATATCTTCAGTGTTAATGGTGGTTCTTTTCGCATGTCTTGCAAACATTTCTAGGTCTTTGGCAAAAATTTCTGCCGGGCTTGGTGGCTCACGCCTGTAATCCCAGCACTTTGGGAGGCCGAGGCAGGTGGATCAAGAGGTCAGGAGACCCAGACCATCCTGACCAACAAGGTGAAACCCCATCTCTACTAAAAATACAAACATTAGCTGGGCGTGGTGGCGCGGACCTGTACTCCCAGGTACTCAAGAGGCTGAGGCAGGATAATCTCTTTAACTTGGCATGCGGAGGTTACAGTGAACCGAGATCATGTCACTGCGCTCCAGCTTGGCAACAGAGCGAGGCTTCGTCTTCGGGGAAAAAAAAAAAAAAATCGCGTTGTCAAAAAGCTCCTAAATTGCTGCAGTGATTTGTTTGCTGAGCTGCATCTCTGCTCAGTGCAACTTCCTTCCAAAAATAACCCACCATGCTTCCTTTGGCCTCCGTTGTTAAGAAAATGGCCAAGAAAATATCTGGGTTGGGCGCGGTGGCTCACTTGTAATCCCAGTAGTTTGGGAAGCCAAGGCGGGCGGATCCAGAGGTCAGGGGTTCGAGACCAGCCTGGCCAATCCTGGTGAAACCCTGTTTATCCTAAAAATACAAAAATGAGCCGGGCGTGGTGGCGCGTGCTTGTAATGCCAGCTACTTGGCAGGTTGAGGCAGAAGAATCGCTGGAACCCGGAAAGCGGAGGTTGCAGTAAGCCTAGATAGCGCCAGTGCACTGTAGCCTGGGCGAAAGAGCCCCATCTCCGTGCCTGTAATCCCAGCTACTCAGGAGGCTGAGGCAGGAGAATTGCCTGAACCCAGGAGGCGGAGGTTGCAGTGAGTCGAGATCGCGCCATTGCACTCCAGCCTGGGTAACAAGAGCAAAACTCCATCTCAAAAAAAAAAAAAAAAAGAAAAGAAAAGAAAGTAAATCACTGTTGTTCCTTGGCCTCCACCTGCTCCTTCATCAGAGTGGAGTGGCAAAGGCATATAACAGAAAGGGAGGTCAAGCAGATAGGATATTTCCTGCAGAAGCCCTAAAGGGGTGTTTCTAATGACCCAAGCAAAATTAGTGGTGGTCCTGGAACTGTTAATCTAAGTCTACTAGTCATCAAATGCATGCTTTTCACTGGATGATTCAGATTAAACGTAATTTTGTCTTTGATCAGTTAAGTTCACAAATATTTATTGAACACCTACTAGACACAATTCTGTGTGCTTGGAGATAGAGGTGAGCCAAACGCACTGTCCCTGCTTTGTGAAATATTGGAATCTCTATGGGAGAAAAATTAAGTAAATGGATATATAAATTTATAAAATTTTATCAGCAATAATTTCAGGATGCTTATGACAATGTGCAAAAGAAATAATGACTTAAAGTTGTAGGAAAGCTTTCATCAAAAAACATCTTTTTGCTGGAGGCTGCAAGAGACTGTAACTTGGAAGAGTCTATATGGTACACTTTTTAAAAAAGTGTACTTTTTTCTTTTTAAATATGGGTAGGAGTCCTCAAGAAATATCTTAGTTTTTCTCAAGACCGCTATTGCCAGTGATATTTATCTCTTTTGTTACTAGCATAGGAACATGCAGAATTGTTATACTGGATTCTCTAAAAAGTCGAGACCAGCCTTGCCAATATGGGGAAACTCCATCTCTACTAAAAATAGAAAAGATTATCTGGGTGTGGTGGTGGGTGCCTGCAATCCTAGCTACTCAGGAGGCTGAGGCAGGAGAATCGTTTGAGCCAAGGAGGCAGAGGTTGCAGTGAGCTGGGGTCACGCCATTGCACTCCAGCCTGGGCAACAAGAGAAAAACTCTGTCTCATTAAATAAATAAATAAATAACCGACGTGAAATACAAGGTTTAAGTACAATGCATAATTTCAAGACAGCACACTGATTTTGGGAATAAGAGCTAGAAATACAGCATATTCTGTAAACATGAATCTACTATAAACTAAGGATGGCCTTATTAAAGATTGTGGAATCTCATTAGCCATTCACATAATCAGCAAATAAGTGTTAAAGGGCTTATTGCAATAACCTATTTCCTTTTCTTGGAAATTCAGCAGAGATTCTTTATTAAACTGGAATAGCTTGCAGATTCTCCTTAAATCAAGAATTCTGAGCAAGAAAATTCTGTGGTAACCCTCGGTTTACAGTAGTTCTGAAATCAGTAGGCCCTTCAAGTATTCCTTGCACAGTCTTCCCTGGAGCAAAAAGGGAAAAAAGGAAAACAGAAACATTGAGGGCTTCCAGTCTTGCAGAATCACCCTCACTGAATTGCACTGTAATGTTATACCCTAGGACTCAGGTGTCCCCAGAATTTTTACACAGGGGGCCAGTTCACTGTCCCTCAGACCGTCGGAGGGCCACCACATACTGTGCTCCTCTCACTGACCACCAATGAAAGAGGTGCCCCTTCCTGAAGTGCGGCAGGGGAGCTGGATAAATGGCCTCAGGGGGCCGCAGTTTGGGGACGCCTGCCCTAGGTTGTAAAACTACAGTAGTGGCTGGCAAACTACAGCCTGTAGATCAAATTCAGGAGATAAGAATAGTTTTTATGTGTTTAAAGGGTTGCAAGAGAATGGATAAGAAAAGAATATGCAATCAAGTCATCTGTGCCCCCCACAACCCACACATACAAAATAAATTTGCTTTCTGCCTCTGTAGAAAAACGTGTAGTATGCCTGTTCTATATATAAAAATCATATGAAAACAGCAACAAATGCTATTAAAAGCAATCGAATTTGTGAGACACAAAGTTCACTTTGTTGCATGATCTTATAGAAGGCTCATTCAGAGATTTTATTTATATACTATGCCAGAAGAAATTTCCCTTTAGGCTGTAGCTTATAAACAGTGCCTCGGTGCCCTGGGGGCCTCGGAATTCCTAGGGGTTCTGTGGGATAGTTTAACTTTTTGAGGGAAACACAGTGACATCTGTTGGACTTTATTAACAACTACAACTATCAAGTTTGGATCTATCAACTTCATAAATAGAAATTTGGGATATTTATTTTGGCCTGAGGTACCATGAAAAAATTACCGAGGCACTAGAGGCTCTGGGAACTTTGCCTTTAATTATGGTTTTTCAAACTTGGCTAAGGATGAGAATCACCTCTTAAAGCTTGTAAATGTATAGATTCCTGGTTCCTCGTATTTCAGACCCCCCAAAATCAGAATCATCAGGAGAGGAGCCAGTGATCTCTATTTGAAGTAAGTACTTCAGATAATTAATGATTAGACACTTTTAAGAGATACTAATAATAAGAAATGGGTAAGTTTACAACAGTAATTTACCTTGTTTCTCTTTTTGAATTAAGTGTCAGGACCCAGATCAAATCTAATGCCTGTATTCTCACTTCTAAGTAGAAGCTAAGCAATGAATACACATGGACATATAGAGTGGAATCATAGCCACTGGTGACTTCAAAAGATGAAAGGGTGGGAGAAGGGTGAGAGATGAAATACTACCTGTTGGGTACAGTGTACACTATTTGGGTGATGGCTACACTGAATGCCCAGACTTCACCACCACTACACAATATATCCATGTAACACAACTGCACTTGTATCCCCAGATGTGTGAAAATAAAAAATAAAAATCAGATGCATATAGCATTCTTCCTCTCTTCCATAGCCTGATTTTTTATGATATACATAAGTTAAGCATGTGCATACTGAAATCACGTCCTTCCT